GAATACAGCGGTGGCGACGAGCCCCCCTCAGGAGGTCCGAAGAGGGGAAAAACTGGCGAAGGGTAGCGGTATGGGTACCCAGGCATGCGACGTCCTGACTTCTTCAAGACGGCGTCCCCGGAAGTCTGGACCCTTTCCCCAGGACCGGCTTCTCATCCTGAATCGTTTTTTGACGCTCCCGAAGCCCGGCAAGGGCCCCCCGGGCCCGAAAACTGTGAAAAACCGCCCGTCCTCATGTCTGGGTACCTTTCCCTCCTCTGAGGGAAGCGTGCCGGCTGCAAGGGGCAGTCGGGCCGGCACTGCAGCGCCGCCGCGGCCGCCATGGCAGCTTCTCTCTGCGCGCCGGCGCGCCCCACGGGTGCGAGGAGTTGATGGGCCTGTTTTCCACCACCACCACCACCACCACCACCACCACCACCACCACCATGAGTTCGAGGGGGAAGGAGAGGGAGGAGGAGGACGAGGAGGAAGACGAGGAGAGGGGAGGAGGAGGAGGGGGGAAGGAGGAGGAGGAGGAGGATGAGGAGGAGGACCCCCTCCCCCTCCAACTTACGGTGGCGGTGGTGGAAGATAAGCCCATCGGGAGTGCAACGCAGGAAGGCTGTGCTGCCCTGCCCCGGCGCGGCTCTGCGGCAGCCACGGCGGGAGTGGCAGGATGACAGGCGGACCGATAGGACGGAAGACTATCCCGCAAGAGCCCCAGACCCCCTCGCGTCCTGACAAAATCACGACGGCGGGTTTTTTGCAATATTTTCAGCCTCTGGGGCCCCTTACCGTGCCTCGGGGCCGTCAACAAACAACTCTGGGTGAGAAACCGGTCCCGGGGAAAGGGTTCGGACCTCTGGGGGTCGCGTCATGAAAGAATCATGACGTCGGGGGTCTGGGTGGTGAATCGGTGGGGATTCGGGGTCACCGCACGGTTTTGGGACTCGGGTCCCTCGGATTACAGTCGGACCTAGAACGGAAGAGTATCCTTCGAGAACATGGGACCCTCCGCCAGCCCAAACTCAAAAAACACTCGAGGGTGCCCTCCCCCAGGACGCACAGGAACCTCGAGCAAGCACGAAGAACATTAGGGCACCCTCCCCGACTCGACCTCGATCCTATACCTCGGTCCGACTGAAATCGAGATCAAACCGGAAAGTCGGCTCGGATCGGAACGTGCGTCGCACTGGGCTGCATCGGACGGAGTCGGATTCGAGTCGGATCGGCCGCGCCAGGATGCCCAGCAGCGCCCAGCATCGGGCGGCATCGGATCGCAGGGAAATCGGCATCGGATTGGATCGAACAGGCCGAGCTCGACTGCGAATCCGACCGATCGGATCGCAATGGGCCCTGAGGGGGCAGGCCCGGCAGAACGGTGGAGCGGGCGGTCCCGACGCTGTTCCGCTGCTGCCTCCGACTCCGCCTCCTGCGTATCCTACTGCTCAGTCTCCCCCCCATTCCCCCTCGCCCTGCCCTCCGCCGCCTCCGCCACCTCCTGCCCCTCGTCGTCATCATCACCACCAGCATCAACACCACCGCAAGCGCCATCACCATCGCCCTCACTGCCAGCATGATCGTCATGATCACCATCGATAGTCCACCAGTCTCATGGGGGCTGCATGATGTGTGACATGCCTTGTTGGATTGCTGTATTCCCGCTATGCTTGTCTGCTCTTCTCTCCCTCTCCGTCTCTCTGACTCTCTCTCTCACTCTCTCTCTTTCTCTTTCCATCTCTCTCTCTCTCTCGTCCTGTCTTTTGCTTCCTGTCTGCTGTCTCGCAACTGCTGTCTCTATTTGTCTGCTAGGGGTGGGCGACCGCGGCGTTAAAACGATTCGCTTGGAGAAGGACCCAACACAAAGCAGCTGCGAGAAGAGAAAGACATGACCTCGCATCATACGCAATGTGCCAAAGTAGCCACAAAACACGTGAGGGGAGTATCCGAGATGGGCGGGGAGACTGCATGCGATACCCTGCCGATGAGGCCTTCGGTGGAGCTCCGTGCGGGGCCACGGAACGCTTGAGGGGTGAACCAGAATGGGTGGGGGGATTGCATTCGATGCACTGCCGCTAAGCTCTTCGGTGGAGCCCCCATGCGGGGCCACGAAACGTGTGGGGTGTGTGACGGGATGGGCGGGGGACGCTGTGCGGCACCTTTCCCTTCGTGTCTGGCTGACCGGTCGGCCGATCACGCCACCCGATCGCGTGATTCGACCGCAGCCTCGATCACGATGGCTATCGCGCCAACCACGGATCGATCACGCACTTCAGCTCGGACGATCGCGTGACCAACCAGAACCGATCACGTGATCGGCGATCACGTGATCCGCCGACCACCGCGATCTGTGATCGCCGACCGTGCTCAGCAGACACTGAGGCTCTGCCACCGAGGCCTTCGGTGGATATCCCCGTTTGGCCACGGAGCGTGCGAGGGGTGTGCCGAAATGGGCGGGGCGGGCGGGCGGGGGCGCCGTGCGGCTGCGGCACCTTGCTGCTGAGCCTTTGGCAGAACATCTTGTGGGGCCGCGGCACGTGTGAGGTGTGTGCCGACACGGGCGGGGGGCGCTATCCGGCCACGCCCCTCCCGCCCTCCCGCCCGGCGGTGCCTTCATGGCCACGGCGTCGGAGTGGCCAGGGAAGGTGCCGATCTGGCGGGCGGAGGGCACCGCTCGCCCTCGGCGAGCCCGACGCCTCCCTGCGCCGCCTTATAGTCCACGTACAGTCGGACCCAGGCCGGAGGAGCACCCCTCAAGAGCGCGAGACCCTCCGCCGGCCCAAACGCACAGAACACCCCCAACAAGGGCTCCCAACTTTGCGCTTCGCGCTGCGCGAAGCGCGAGGTGCGAATGACTTCGCGCTCTCGCGCCGCCTCCCAAGGGAGAAGAGAAGGACGAGGAGGAATCGGAGCCGAACCGCGAAGCGCGACTAACTTCGCGCCCTCAAGGGCGCCCTTGCCCAAGGGTGCCCTCCCCAGGATGCACAAGAGAGTCCGACGAGCAC